GTTGTGCCAGACAGAGTAACCGTTATAAGAGCATCTCAGACTCCAGGAGTGATCATTCTCTCCAAACCTGCAGTCCAAACTGCCTCCTTTCCTCCTGATTCTTCTCTGACTCACTGCTATATTAGCATATCCTCTCCACTTGACCTCCCAGTAACAGCGACCAGTCAGACCATCACTACACAGCAGCTGAGGTTCATCAAATCTATCTGGATGATCAGGATAGGACTGAAACTCCTTCACATAGATCACAATCCTGTTGTCTTCAGACATTTTCAGTTTTCTGCTCACTGTCTTTGTGTCGATGGTGATCTGACTGGAATCTGATGGACAGAACAGAAACAGTTCGGCTGCAGTTATTCATCATTTATTGACTCTTTGATGAAGCCTCCTGAGTGATTGATGGACAGATTGAAGATGGTTGATGTGAGCTGCTTTGCTGTCATGAATCTGATAAAAAAAAAAACTTACACTTCCTCAGACCTGGTGTCAACCATCGTTCTCCAGCAGGCTCCACCCTGAAAGGCGGAGGATATCAGACCATCAGAAGGAAAACAACATGACCTACACTGAGAAAAACATGGTCCAACATTTTGATGTGTCTGTTTGTTGTAAAAAAAATCCAAATAGGGAAAGTTATACAACAGAGGGCCTCAGGTTAAAGTTGAGCAGCCAAATCCACGGTGGTGGTGCCATGATGGCTTCGGTTATAGCTCCCGACAACCTGCGTGCATACACACCCTCACCTGGACTGGAAACACCACCTCACTGGTCCAAAGGGCCCAGAAGGATGAGGAGATACTAAATATCAGTAGAGGGGTGGCTGCAAATGGGGACCACTTCTCAGTGCCCATGTTGTCTGGGTGATATTTTGGTTACATTTTTATGCTGGTGGTGCTTTCACCAGTACACCAGGAGATATGGAGGAGGCTGTCGGAGGGCAACAACCTCGCAGCGGGACAACCACCACCGTCTTTGTGCAAGGAGGAACGGGAGGAGCACTGCCAGAGCACGGGAGAATGACCGCCAGCAGGCCACAAATGTGCAAATGTCTGCACAAACACAAACCAAAGATGAGGGTTGTGCTCAAGGAACACCAGGATTGGTACATTCACCACTGGCACCCTGTGCTCTTCACAGATGAAAGCAGGTTCACATGAGCACAGTGAGTCTGGAGACACAATGGAGACTGATCTGCTGCTTGCAACGTCCGATTTGGCAAGGGATTGGCCGCACAATCCCTCACCAAGGGTAGCATGACTGCCATCAGGTACCAAAATGAGATCCTGAGACACTTTGTGAGACCATCTGCTGGTGTGGTTGCACCT